CTCAAGTTGGTTCTTTGTTTTCTAGCACCTCATCTCACCTCATCTCATCTGATCTCATCTGCTTCTATTGTGTTCCATTCGAACCTCGCATGTCCTATTCTCTTCTTTCCCAATTGCAACGCTCTCTTACACCCCACACTGAACGGTTGAATCTGTTTTAGCCTCACACAATCAGAGAATATACGATTGCACACTGGGAACTGGTCCGTTGATATGTTTGGTAAGAACACACTCACTTGTTTGGACAATTTCCACGGTCTTCTGGTCCTTTAATTCCTCCTTCTCCATCAGCCAAACCTCATACTGACCACACTCGTCAATTGGTTGATTCACTTTGCCCTCTGGATTCTCGATTTTCCCACCAGTCGTGATTACTTTCTTCACCTTCTTTGAGCCACCAGATCCTTCTTCAATCTGGTTCACCACATATGTATAGTCGCTAACCGTTTTTCTTGGGATCTTCCAACCTATTTCAATGTGTTCGTCTTTTGGGCTCACCTCAAGTTTGGCTGAAGCGAATGAGACAAATGTGATGAGAAATTAGAAAGGAACAAATGCAGATTCACGGGGATATGTGTGACGAGCATGGAATACTACCACAGCTGGCTATTCGCGTTCCAGTGCAATCATCTGGCAGTAAGGATTAGGATTGCTATGTGGACTGTGATTTGCACAGAAAAATAACTTACTCATACTCGTGTGGTTGAGCACACGATGAGAAAGGACTGTGAGATAGGAGTTCTTACTGGACGTGTGAATGGTCCGTCACTGGCCAGATTAGCACTGGTGTGCTTGTTTCTAATAGGAAACAGACTACATAGATGTTGGAAACGCAGGAACGTTGAGAATGAGAAACGAACGGAGTGCTTATCAACTCTGCCATGACTGACCCGCAACTTGTTCGCATGAAGAGACAAATTGTGTGAATGGGTGAGATGAGAATGGTTCACTGTTTCTCCGACTGAATGCTCATACGAATCGTTCGTGTGATGTTATGTGGCACAAATGACTTGCACTCTACTAGGTCATTGTACACATTCGAATGTGAATATGGCATGAGCGCACGGGAGCGCGTTCAGATTGCAATTAATTGTTTGTCCATTGCTAGTGGTGTGTGAGAACTAGTGCGGCCTTCCAATTGACCAGTGTATTGACCATGTCAAAATTCGATCGAAATTAAACTCACGCCTCCCGAATTGAACATCGTGGATGACTGCCTCAGTGAATTTGTATGGCGAATCGGGAGCGGCCGTCACATTCACCACACATTTTTGACAATCCAAATTATCCGGAAGTTTATACTCGGGTCCTTNCCAGATCCAGCGTCAGCTTCGAATTGTCATGTGTGACTGAATGCGTCAACTGAATTGCACTCTCTGCAAGTCACATTAGCAAACGAACGATTCCGATTGCGATTGCGATTGGAACAGGGGTGAGATGGAGCGGGAGAGGGAAATCAGAACGAGTGAGTTTCATGTGAAATATCATAAGTGACAACGAGTTATTGAAAATGATGATCATACTACGGACTATGAGGGGATTTGAAGCGGGTGTTCACCAGCACATGGGGAAGTAACAATCACGGATCACGTGGAAGATGATTATGTTCTCATTCGAAGTGCGTGTGAGCATCTCGCAACTGTATGCTTTGAAGCTGAATGGAGAATCGGTGGGGAATAAATTGTGCTTTGTGGTGAGAGGAGAATTGCAAATCCCCATGCTTCAGTGTGAGCAACTATCACGAATGTGATAGACCAGTTGCAGGAATATTTCGGAGTTAACGCAGAACAGTTGTCACTGGTTGCACACCATTCACAGTTTCTACCGAACCTTCCGTCGGTCACATTTGTCCTACTTCCACATTGTCATCCTCTCGATCATAGGCAGCAATATTCCATGCATCACCTGACCCTTCTCTAATCGATATTCAACAATACCGACGTTCTCGATCGGACGACCATTGCTTAGAACCGCCATACAACAGATCGATCGGAAAGTTAAAATGCGAGCGAATCAGTTAGAACTGGGATCGCAGCGCTCATCGGAGATTGGATCAAACACAAAATCATTCTATCCATATTCGATTCAGCCAGCAGATCATCCAATCATTCGTTCCGTCAGACATTGACAAATTCAGACCGGAATTCTGCCTGTCAGTCAGCCGCGGTTTGGCACGAATAGTTATTCGGTCACAGTCAGTCAGTCAGTCAGTCAGTCAGTCAGTCAGTCAGTCATTCAGTCAGTCAGTCAATCACTCAGTCAGTCAGTCAGTCAGTCAGTCATCAGTCTGTCAGTCAGTCGCTCAGTTAGTCAGCTATTCAGTCAGTCAGTCAGTCACTCAGTCAGTCAGTCACTCAGTCAGTCAGTCAGTCAGTCAGTCACTCATTCAGTCAGTCAGTCAGTCAGTCGCTCAGTCAGTCAGCTAATCAGTCAGTCAGTCAGTCACTCGGGCAGTCAGTCAGTAAGTCAGTCAGTCAGTCAGTCAGT